GTTTATGCAGAGATGTCTAAAAATTTTGAAAGCAAATTGTAATTAGACACAACTTTAGCTGAAGAGGAGCCAAACGCATACACAAGTGAGTCATCTGCCCAAAAATTGGATATTGTAAGTTTTCCCAAAAGTATCTGTGCTTTAGAATACAATCATCATGTCTCAGTTTTGAGAAGAGAAATCATGATACTGTCGTCTGTAAATGTCAGATTTCTGATCCGTGTGCAGGTGTGCCGTCAGCTGAAGTTACACAGCGGTTAGTTCAAATTAAACACAATAACTAATTTGATGATGGTGACGGAAATGCAATTCTGAATTCAGTAATGCAGAACATGAGCTTTCATTTTCCATTAAAAGTGATCAGATGGAGAAGCTAAATCTGGCAGATTGGTAAATAAAGCTGCGAGTAAGCAGCCAGAAACCACAGTGGGTTTATCCTCGACTGATTTCCATTCAGTTCTTTGCAGAAACAAGTGGCTGAGAAGATGATCAGAAATGAGGACAGCATTCTAGTCATCTCAGGCAACACAACCAACCAGGTTTGTCACGTTTCGTGTAAACATCATACCCTAAATAGGAAAAGACCATTTTAAGAAGAGCTTTTAAACAATATAAAGAAATGATTACATTGTATTTTTAAAATGTTCGTGATCACCTTTCCTTATACCGGTTTAAACAGAAGACAACAAATACAGACAAATTACAGGTAAAACCGACATGATGTGTCTTAAGGAGGTGTTGGACCAATAGATGCTGCCAGAACTGCTTCCAAGAACATTGGCTTTTATTCTGCAAGTATGTGGAACTCTACAACAGTGATTGAACACCACGCTCTGAAAAGATCATGTGGTGTTTTAATGATGGTGTTGGAGAACACCGTTAGTCCAAATAGGTGTTCACTGAGTTGAGCTGTGGTGACTGTGAAAGCCACAGCGTATGGTTTGCATAATTTCTTTTTCCGTTTTGAAGCCATTCAGTGACCATCACAATAGAAATGATTCAGCACAGAGTGAAGGTGATCACATAGAACAACTGTGTACTGATTTGCAGTCACCCAAGTGGATTGACACCAAAAGCTCCCCACAGCATACCAGAACCATCAGAACCCCTTACTGTAGGGATGAAGGGTCCAAATTTATCCTTTAATTTGCCACCTGTCTGCATTCACCCACATGGCCTTTTAAAAATCCACAACTCGACTCCTCGAGAATGTTCAGTAACGAAAAATCTTTGCTTTCTTTTGATTAAACTGAGCCTTTGTAATGGGTGCTCTGTTCTTTGTCTGTCCAGATCTGGGTGTTACGTCCACCCAACTGCTCTGTATATGAGCAAGAGGGGACATTTGGGCTCCAAATGTTGGACTTTTCTGAATAGAATAATTGAAGGAATTTCAGTAGGAGCAGATGACAGCACTGCACGTCTTTTGGAAGACATAAAAACTAGTTACAGATTTTTGGATTCAGCTCCTTCACAAGATAGACTTGTTTTGACACCGATTATTATACATATACACTAATTTCTTTTCCTTCACTCTCTGACACAAATAGAAAAACACTGCTTGATCACTGACTATCACTGAAAAAGTTAGTCAGCTCATGGAATAGAGGATTTGATTAAAGTGAGTAATCAAAGTAGAAATTGACAAGACAATCCCATAAAACCCTAAAGAAACAGTCTCACAACCCTTTAAATCATGTTTCTACAAGTCTACCTCTGTTTACCTTGAAGAGAACCCAAAATCTATCCATCATGCTTGCCAGGCCTGATATTCTTAGAAGAAAAGAAACACTTATTTGGTGTGTTGGTGTTTAAATTCACCCAATTACGAAACGGTGGATATTTATAAATGACATAACTCCTGCTAATTTAAATGGGGACCTGATCTGTTTCCTTCCCTGTAACAACTTGTAGAACATTTTTTTAACTTTTAGTTGCCTGCTGGGATGATTTCTTTTTTCTTTCTTTTTTGGTTGTTTATAATGGTTGGGACTTATTTGTTTGAAATCACCAATAAAGTCCACTAAGTTGCAGTTTTTCACATTTTGCTTGGTCACATTTTAGAGACGGTAAGCAGCACTGAGTGACAGGAACCATGAATGTGAATCATCGACCCAGGAGCCAGACACAAATCCAAAAAAACAAAAAATAAACGAGAATTTAAATTTGCTCCTCAGTTTGCTGAGCCACTATTGCACCATGCACAATCCAATATTTCTGCATGAATGATGCATGAGGTGGCTCTATGTTCAATGTGGGAAAGGAGCAGAGGAGGGAAAAGGAAAGAACAGAAAAATGGATGGAAAAGAGAGAAACTGAAAATGGGACAATGAGGAATTAGCAGTGACAGCGTTTATAGTCAGTTCTATAAGGTTTGGGATGGGGAGTCTTTTCCTTCTTGATTCATATGGGATGAACTATGGATTTTATATCATAAGATGAATGTGCAAGTGTGGAGCTTTTTAACTCTTGTCTGTTGACTGCACAAAGGTCTGCTCTGACTCTATGTGGCTGCATAAATGAAAGAGATTCTGAAGTTATTTACCAAAGCAAAGGTTCATATTAAATGTGCTACAGTCCTGTGACTAAAAACAGAAAAATGTCAGATGCACGACTTCAGAATAAGTACACATTATACTATATGTTCTTTTTACAACTGCCTGGGAGATTTCCTTATTCGGACTGGTTCGTTCTATGCATTTCTCAAATTTACATCTAGTGTACCTCTAGACATACGTATGATGTCGTATCAAAGAAAAGGTTCAAGAAGGAATCTCTTTCTCCGTCCAAGTCACTGTTGGCGTAGAGTTAAACGGATCACAGCACTATTTGTGAAAGCTTTCTGGAGTGTGTTTAGGCTACAGGGGACAGCTGAGAAAAAAGTCCTAACAGTGAATAAGAATCAGTGAAGAAATGGAAAATACTTCCTATATGATGTCATACATTTTTACACAGTTGCAGTATTTTGAATGACAATGAGCAGCCAATCTTTCCAATGCTTTTGCTGTGGAAGTGGAAAAAAGACTGATCCAGAGTTTCTCTATCTCACTTTCTTCTCGCTGTCAGGTCTTTTTCCTGTATGCATGATTTCCGTTACTAGCTTCATAATGATAACAAGTTGAAATTCTACTTTTCTAGAATCCTTAAGCAAGAAAGAATCATCTAGAATATAAAGAGCACATAACTGAAGCACATACACAGACATATATACTATACAAAATACAGCTTACATATTATCAACATGCTGGTGTTCATTACTGTAACTGCTGCTTAAATGAGTGAGTGCATAAGTCCATCAGAACCTGACTATACAGCCTTCTGCTCCGTCATTTATGAGGTGGATGCAAAAAGAACAAATGCTCATGTTGCTTTATGTCGGCTGGACAGGCAGCTGTTTGCTGATGTCACTTTATTTTTGATTGTGTCCCCAAGTCACTACAACTCTATTATTGCTGCATAAAGTATGTTTATAATTTGCATTACAGTCACACTGTCATATTCACTTTTCCTGCAATAGTAAGACACTTCTGAGTCAGTTCTGAGTTGGTTCCTTTTATTTATTTTTCTGAGTGACTTTAAACTTTAAAATGCCCAGTGAGACTTTTACCTTATCTTATTCTAAATCTTTTTTTTAATCATTTTTTATTCTTTTATATAGTGCAGTAGATTTTAAGCCTTTGAATATGTATTTTTAAGGCAGTGTTTCGCTTGTATGTGATTGCTGCTGCAGCACTGAAAGAAAATTCACTCTTGAAAATTGCATAATCATTCAAAGATCACATATTAGCCTTTAAGTGTTTGTATCTGTTTTGTATCTGAAGTGGTCTTAAAGAAAACTGGATCTCTCCTTGTCTCTGTTTTCAGTCTTCACCAAAGGTAAGCAAAAAAAAAAGAAAGATTTGGGGCAGTACCAAGTCTTCTCACTGGGCTCAGGTGACATGTGTGAAGACAGGTAGGATGTGGTGGAGCAGTGGGTTGAACAGAGACCCGGGTTTGAATCTTGTGTCAAGCCTCAAGTGAATGTCGAGTTTAAGTTATTTTTGTGTGCTTGAGTCTTGTGCATATGGTTTGGCTCATCTTGATGGGAAACGCTGAGGGCAGAAAGGGGAGGAGGGGATTACTTTACCTTTTCCAGATTTCTGCCTACTGAGGTTTCAGGTTCTAAGCGAGTCGTGCTTGCTGTAGGGGGCATTTACGTCCTTTAAAGTGATTCTGCTTGTGGCTCTTTAAGTTCTAAATGAGAGATAGTTGCTTGTGGAGACATTTGTATCCTTCAAAGTGAATTTCAGTTGGCTGTAAATCTAAGCCTTCTTTTGCAACATGTTGTGCGGTTGTATGTTGGCCAAAACGTTAGCTGCCATAATAAATTCAAACTTTCTGTTCTGGATTATTATAAAACTCTACCAATATAAGCTACTTTTCTCTTCCCTCAACTTTGCATTGTTGAAAACAAAAACGAGAGTTGTTGCTTAAAGAGGTCGGTGGCTAAACACTCACTCATATCCTCACCCTCACTGTTTGCCAGAAGGTTGTGTTGCTTCCTGAATTCAGAGGGCCAAGCCCTCCAGTTATTATGTTACCGATGGAGCCGTGCCATCAGTGTGCGCTGTCCATTGTGAAGCTAAGCCTTCCATAATCTGGATGGGGGCATTTAGCCATTTGGAATGCATGCAGATAGACAGATTTGCAGTGGTTAAATATAGGCTAGGCTACGGATTTGAATGCTAATGATGATGCTTGAGGTGTTTTCCTGCACTGGTGGGCATTAAAATGATAATGTGGCATCTGCTAACCAACTGCCCTTTACTTTAGTTTAATATAGTCATTGTTCATTCATTAGGTTCTTGTATTAAAGCGAATACCACTCGTGCATGTGTGCATTAGGTAGAAACGATGCACAGGAGTGCAGTAAAGAAGTGGATGGAGAAAAGCTCGAGCTGCTGACACGAGCTGACGTTGAAGTTCTTAATCATCTGACAGTCTGCTGTTTCTCTGTCATGCAGTTGGTGCTGCCAGAATACTCCATCCATGGACTGTTCTGCATCATGTTCCTATGTGCCCAGGAGTGGCTGACTGTGGGCCTCAACATCCCCCTGCTCTTTTACAACACGTGGAGGTAACTATACAATCCATCGTACTTTGTATGTATGAGTGAGTGTGTGCTATTAAATTTATGTCCTCATTTCTTGTATGGCATCTTTTTGGTTTGGGTTCTGATATTTAGAAGGCTGGTGATATTCAGCATTTTTCTTATTATTTCTAATAAAAAAAAAATGAAACCAATCACTTCTTCCTTCTAACATTTACTGTACAAGTAGCCTGATCTCTTATTCCCTAATGCCACCGAAAGGACACATTTATTTGCAGTCAATCCTGCTGCTGTAAATACTCACTAGACCAACGTACTGGTGTGACTCTTCAGCTGGAAATAGTACCAAACAGATGTGGTATTTTCTGCTGTTTGAACAATACTTTTCCAGAAACTGCAGCAACTGACCGTTTAAAGAAATTACTAAGCCTTTATAAAAACTAGTCATACTGTCACTAGACAGACATTAGAATCTTGCCTGAGATGTCACACTTTCCTTTGATATTGCTGCCTAGTCACAGGTTCTACACCCGCATGGGTTCCAGCGACAGGCTGGAAGCCCAAGGCAAGGACCCCATAAAAACCCCCAAAACGTCCACCATTCTTTCAATCTGCTTCAAACTGCATTTTGTCAGGTCCGCAGCAAAACACCCGCCAATGTTGAAGCAGATCTGACTTGTGGTTGTCGAGACATGCAAAGAACAGACACACAAACACACACAGTCAGAGATTCCTTTAAATATGCTTCGATGAGACAAAATAACTGGGAGCCCTTCTATGATAAAGTGATTATTGTGCTTTCTGTAATAAAATCAACATCAGACAAAAAACAGAAATGCTGCTAAAGCTTTTTAATCATAATGTAATAATGCTACTTTATATCATTTTTAGTGTTAAAGAATTCTGTCCTTTAACATCTTATCCTTTACTGATTGGATATAGAATCCTCTCTGGCTCTATACACCCCCAACAACTGAGGTTTTGTAACCTAAGAGGCGACACCCAGGGCCCATTTTTTTATGAACTCAGATCTTATCATCTAGACCACTGTAGCAAAAGAAAAATATTCAGAGATGCTTTGATATCAGCTTGCAATATTAAAAAGGAAGAGGAAAGATGACATCAGTTACCCAGCCTCATTTTTCTTCTTTAGTGGAAATTCTGCCTGTGGGAAGGTCACAAGGAATTGAGGAATTGACCAACACTGCATTTAATGACCACAGGTGTTGAACACAGTCCTTAAAATTTAGGTTTGGTGTTACTTGATGTTTAGTTGACAGTTAAGGTTCATCGTTAGAAGGCCACCATCAATTACAACCCAGAATCATGACACCACTGACAACCAAAACAGTAAAAGCTTTGTAAAAGTAGAATTTCTAGCACAACTCATGTATTGGATTGCATTAGAAAGCACAGGTGTTCCTAATAAAGTGCTCGGTGGGTGTATAATTCCACTTTAAAAGACACTTAAGCAGGTGGCCACTGTAATTTAAACAAATGTTACTGACTGGAGTAAATGGTGCATTTGTTGAGGACAATTCTCAGCAGTGGATTAATACATATTTGGTGCACTGATGAAGAGTTACTGCGGCCGGATGGTTGAGCCAAAATAAGCTACAATGTGTTCGTGGTAATGAAGCAACATGTCACCCAGTGCAAAAGTTTGGCTCACTGATGTGTTTGGAATAGTTTTTGGCAGCTGTGAGCCAGAGGAATAAGAGGCATAGATACACACAATACTTGTTAGAAGGAACATTTTATCGCTGGTTTATGGAATTTGTCTAAAAAAAAAAAAGGAATATTAGGAGATTTATTATTTAGGAGCACTGCAGAAAAAGTGACAGAAGAGATAAGCTGCTTTGGTTTCTATTCAAAGCTTGCATGTCTAGAGTCTTCTGCTGACCTTACTGCACATCCTGATGCATTTCTGAGAACATCCAAAGCTCTGACGGAAACTCGTGGTTAAAGCAAGTATATCAGTGTTCTAACACTTCTCCAATCTCCGAAAGGCAGCGTCTGAAAAATGGGTCACCACTCAGTGATCTTCAGATTTCCTTTGCTGCTCCTTTTTTTTTTTTGTCTGTTGTTGTCTTTGTTGCTGTTCCCTCCCCGCTGCTCGCTGGGTTAGATGTGGACTGCTGGCAGCCTGATTGGTTCAAGCTCATGTGCTCAGCTGGTTGAAGTTCGAGTCGAAGAGGGGAGGAGAGGAAGAGGAGAGAAAAACATCTTGCTGTCTCATTAACTGGAGACTGTGCCAGATGCCTACCGGCTACAGATGCTGCAGCTGAGAGATGAGAGGACAAGGAAAGGAAGGGAGCGTAAGACGGAGACAGAGGAGGCTGGAAAACGAAGCAGGGAGTAGCAGGAGGCAGGAGAGAAAGTCAGTGAGTGATGGCTGAGAGATCTAATATTGACAAGGTGATTCAGAGGAGAGCTGGAGAGGGAGGATAGCTGGCTGTGCATGTGTGTCGGTGCATGTATACCTTCTCGGTGTCCATGTGATGCTGTGCGGAGTTTACAGATGTTGACGGGAAGTCTCCTTTGAGATGTAAGATTGACACCTCTGCTTGAAAAATTCACACTAAGGCAGCTGAGTTTGAGCGATTTGTGTCAGCTACAAGGATGATTCTCCAACCAGGCAGGCCACGACTTTGTCATTACGGACTCATTAGGCGTAAATCGCAATGGTTTTTTGAGATCTTCATAAACTTGAGGTGAATGAAGACATTTAGCTTTATAAGATTTGTTTACCCAAATTAAATTATTTTTTTTACTTACTTGATGTGCTATATTTTGGTATTTGAAGCACAATGTCTTTGATATTTTTAACTAGTTTGTGGGGTTTTTTTTTTAGATCTCATTCAGGATCTGTGATAGGGAAAATGAGAATTAAGGCCAATTTATGCGTCCAACATCCATATTTCTACAAGGGTTCACATGGTACAAACATTGTCATCTTCCCAAGTCTGCAAGTGTCCACACTGACACTTCTGTGGATGTCTGCCTGCAGCCAAAAAATGTGTGGCTGTGCAGACTGAAGGAATTGCACTGACTTTGCGTGCACCAGGAAACCAAACTGTGCTCAAACCAAATGCTTGTTATGAAGAGAGGCTGCAGGAGGAGACCCTCCATTATTTACACCTTTACAATTCATCATTGGAAGTGTTGTAATCAAAGTCGTCACTTCTGGACTTTTGCAGTGATTTATTTGCACATACTTGCCATCAGTGGTGCTCAGCCACAGCACAAACGTCTAAATACTCCAGGAAAGGTGTGCTTCTTATTGTGCATGGGACAGGAAGGTAACAAACTCCAGCTGTAGTCTATTCAATAGCGCTCCATACACCTCAGAAATAATCACAAGGACACGGTGTTACAGCCCAGTCTATAACTAGCTGCTGTATCACATAAAAAGCATGAAGTCCCAGCCAGCCTTTCAGCAACATCCACAGGAGCCCCATGTTTTCTGTTTTCAAAGGGCAATGTGACCAACTGCACTGCAGACCAGCATGTACCTGTAGTTTGTGTGAAGTAATATGAATGTCACCATGTTTAAAGTTTGCATCGGTCACCACAAGGAAACGTGGAAACCATGAATTGGCCTATCATGTACTTTAAAGTTTTCAGATAGATCGATTATCCCCTACAGCTGTGGAGCTATTAGTCACTAAATTAGTTCTTCCTGCTTCTCCTTTTTAAGACTTTGTGCAACTTACTTCCCCCTGGACATCATCATTAACTTTGATGTCTGTCCATAAATCCAGTCTGAATCAAAAACAATGTTCCTTAACTTGAGTTTAGAACTTGCACAAGATGCTTCAGGTTTCACAGTTTTTTTTTCAGTGTCAAGTAATTTACTGGATGGTGTCTGTACATCCATGAGCATGTTGTAAGCTGGGACTGCTCGTAGCTTGTTTAGCATATTTTGTCAACAAATATCAACAAATTTAGGTCAAAGAAGGACTTGACTTGGAGTTTTGTCACTGACTGTTTGCTTGTTTGACATTTGATAGTTAGTATGCAGTGCTGACTGACGGGACTCATCGTGGGGATGGGTAGAGGTGACAGCTCAGAGCCAGATTCAACCGAGAAACTTGAGAATTACGGTTTGGTCCTGAGTTTGTTGAAATCCAGTATTTTTGTATGGATGTTATACAGTATGATATAAATAGTAAAGGTGTGAAAAAGAAAATAGGAATGAGCTATGGACAAGGGGAATTAGAAAGAGTGGAAATAGAAAAATAAGCATTTAGGTAATACCCAAATGTAACAGGTGTTAGAAAACAGTGGTAGTCGTGGCGTGTTGTTTCTGGAATAAAACATAGCTCCATAAATGAAATCCCATTCACCTCCAGCACTGTTAGAAATCTTAGAGACAATGACAGAGAAGACTTGTCAGGCAAACATGAGGTAAAAGTGAGGGATGTGATCATGAATATGATTTAGGCACGATGAGCAATCAGACCAAGTTTTAGCTAAAGTTGGCTTCAGTTCAGTCACTTAAAGTTCCTTCTGTAGCAATCCTACAAAACAGTGCAAAGTGCCACTTACAACGGTTCACATTCTTGCAAGATTTGCAGTCGTCTACTTCGAAAAGTTGTTGCCCAGTGCATTTACTTAAGCTTGGGATGCACCGGACAACCAGATGAAAACTACAAAGACAGGACAAACCACAAATTAAGGCACAACTAGCACAGATTTTAGTCTTTGCCAGGTCTGGAAGGAGCATAAATGAAACAGTCAGTACACAGTAAATGACTGGAAGTTTGAGTGGTACAAAACGCCACAAACCCCATGAGAACAGTCATTTTTACAAGATGTGCACCAAACAGCTGGCAGCTCGTGGCGTGTCTTTGCCTTCCTGAAAGACTAAAAGAATTAGGAAAAAGACTGACTGAGCTGGAGCTGAGTCAGCATTGTCAAACAGCTGTTTATTCAAGTGACATCAAACAGTCACTCATGGGAGCTGCTATTAATAAATGTGTGAAATAATCCTTATGAGCAATCTGATGACTGGAGGTCCGAATCTATACACATCACACTATGTAAGGTTGTCTGCTGACTTTTAACACTGGTTGACACAGGCTGGAACCAACTTAGTTCAACTGGGGTGGACTAGTTGTTACTGTATATGTGTCGATGTCTGAAGACTGAAGGTTTATGCTCCTTCCTGAATGTTGAAGCTGAAAGAATCTGTGAAGGTTGGTGAAAACAACTTCCATGCGTTGTCTGTCCAGTCTTTTAGCTGGTCTTCAGGAGTGTCCTGAGCTTTAGATGCTGTAGTTGGTGAGGAGGGTACGTACTGGGATGCCCCTACATGTTTCTTGAAAGGCTTGTGGCCTCTGAGGTTCGTATCAGCTGTTGTTTTGGCATTCATGTCATGTCTGATGTCTCCGCTGACCCTCAGACATGAAGTAGAGACAGCCAGGCCTCTATTACATAAAGTCTGCAGTGATGTAACTGACAACTGGTCAAATCTTGGGGATATTTCCTTGCGTGTTTAAAAAACACAAGTTTTTGCCAAAATAAAATCTCACAATATGTGAATGCGCTGGTGCAGAGCAAAATTCCAAGAAAGGCTGGCCAGCGTGCAGCTACAGTTACTTAAAGTGCTTCGGTTGCCAGCTGAATCCTTCCCAAAGTGTGTGTGTGCGTGTGTGTTTTGAAAGATTTCTCCACATTCAGCATCTCTACATGTGTGTCAAATGACTGTTTTCTTCTTGTTTTGTCTGTGACATTTGCTCAGGGTAACAAATGGTGTCATTACTTGTTTCTTTTTTTTTTTTAATAATAATAATAATAATGTCATTTGTATTGCCTATTTGTACAAAGTAGCTTGTAAGCTAACCTCGTTTACCTCTCCATCAGACATCTGTGCATGTATCTTTTGTAGAAGTACATGGGATCTATATTCAGTGACTCATTACAAAGCCCTTGTGTGACACTCAAAATACATCAAGATGCATTTTCAAGTACATTGTTGAATATTTCATACATGCATGAGACATCTATAGAGTAACAGAAATGTAAATTAGTGAATGTACATTGGAAATTCATCTGTGACTACAAAACGTACAACCAGTTTTCCAGTTGTGAGCGACCAATGTGCATGAATTAGCATATTATATGGACATGCATTAAACCATGTATTAGTCTGGGTAATGACCAGACAGACCACATGCATAATGATGGCCACTTCCTGGTTGGACTTCATTAACCATCAAACCCTGAAAAACACAATTAGAGACAAGCCAACAATCCTGATGCAGCTGGTCTGTATTACCTTCATATACAGTTATCCATGTTACAGAATCTTGTTCTTTTGTATCAGCGCTGGGGTCTATTAAAGGCAAATTTTACCCTGTCAAAATAGCAATGAGGTAATTGTGTATCAGTACATAAACAGCTCTCTCCTTGAAGCAGCAGCAGCAGCAGCAATTCCCTCTTCATGTCTCATTTCCCATATGGCATATTTTCCATGTCATAATTCGAACCCCACTGAAATAAATCTCACCGGAATGTAAGCGCTCCAGTAAAACATCGCTACTATTCCCCAGCCCCACTCTTGTATTAATCGCCGCTAGGTTTTGTATTTTGGTGACATTGCACATCATCATTTTACACAGCTCTAAGAAATAGAGCTGTTCTTGTTCACAAATATTGATCGGGCTAAAAGTACAGAAACAAAGCATGCAGATTGTGGGCCGGATTTTCTCTTCTGAATTGATGAATGTAATTTGAAACAGGAGAACATGTTTTATTGAAAATTCATTACAGCGTTTATTAAAAATCCTTTTTATATGCTGCACTTGGAGTTGTAATTCACGTACTGAGCTGAATGGATTGAGAGACTCTGAATAACCCCAGCACTGATACCTCATAGACCTGCATAACAGACCTGGGTGAAAATATATTTGAATATTTATTCAAATATTGAATCATATTTTGTTTATCTTGTTGGGAACCTTAGTGTCCCTGCACATCAAGATAAGTCAAATTTATTGGGATATTTTCCCAACCGACTTTTTGCTAATCCTTGCCTCCCTTTCTATTGTAGCACATACGTATGTAGTTTACAGCAATATCTTATTTCAAGCATTTCAAGCTATATGAAATTAAATATGCAACTACTGGCATCACAGTATTGTGCAAAAAGGCAAAGACAGAGGCTGTATGTCAGCAAAATGTCAGCATTCAGATGAGCAGGCATAATGAAGACATGGAAATAATTTGTCACATCTGTGGCCTCAGCATTCTAAAACGATTATAAAAACAACAACAACAAAAAAAAATAACAGGCTGTAGTGACAGTCTGAAAATACTCGATTTGACTTTCTTACCTGCTCAGCCAAACATTTTATAAATTTGGACAGAACATTGTCAGAATTGCCCTTGAAGTTGCTCAAGAGCAGGACTTTTCTCCTAGGTTATGTGTAGCAAATGGCAAAATTAAATTTCAACTCCAGTGTTCTGTTCCAGAATTAAGAAAATCTCAAGACCCCACCAACATTAGCAGCTCTGCTAGCAACTAGACATACAGCTTTATTCTGAGTCATATGTTTAAAAAAAATGACAGTAGAGATTGAAAGAAATATCTTGTCAGCATTATTCTTTTTGCAACCTAATTTCCCATAACGCCTAGATGTTCATGGTTTAAGCGTCATGGCTTGACTGAAGAGGTGAGTAGTTAGTCCAGGCAAGTTACAGCTCTGACTTCGGCTCTCTGTGGGACTGAAAAAGTGTCAATAAAGTGAATAGATAAAGTGTTGGAATCACACACGAGATAAGAAGTGTTTTAGTTAAGTAGCTTTAATAAAACTGTATGCTGATGATGACGTTCTGTTCTAATATAACTATTTGGATGCAAACTGCACGAATGCTTTCTTGGACAGGCAACGCAGAGGTAAGAGATGGTTCACTTAAACATGAGAATAGACTTTGAGGATGCTACCAGCTTTACCCTATGCCATAGAGTGGATCTGTCCCCCTGATCTTGTCTGTCGACCCACATTATAGTATAGTAAGCTGATGATTCACTTTTTGTAATTATTTAATGTAATTAAAACACGATTGCTGAAGGTCGTAAGCTAGCTAGCATGCAAACATATAATATCTGAGAAGATAGAAAAAGTTTAAAGAATGGATTAAACTTTCTTTAAGCACTTTCACTCAACATGCTTCCAGGTCTGAAGCTTGACAGGCCTGTCCAGCCAACTAACAGCTGCTAATCCATTAAAAATCACTGTTCAGGGGATCAGGTTTATCAAAAGGTCCACCCACATGTTCAACTACTATTTCACCCACGTCTTCTGCATGATGGTGTCCCCTCAAACTCATCATGCCATCTTTCTCCATGCTATCTTCTTCCCCATTTCCTCCCATCATATCCCCCGCCTACCTCCCCAACCCCGGGGTCTGGAACGGGTCAACTACCCGTGGTGTGGTCTTTACCCCCCTGTGGCAGGTACTTCCATTCCCCAACGGACACTAAGGAGCTGCTCTACGACCCGGCATCCGTGATGAATGGCGACACACTCAAGTTCTGCCTGAAGGAGGCCTGGTGCAAGCTGTCCTTCTTCGTCCTCTCCTTCTTCTACTATCTCTACTGGTGAGCGCAGGGCAGGCGGCGTGGGGTGATAATTAGATTACATGTAAAGAGATTACATTAATCTGATTACAACAGATGCAATACCGTTAAAAAATATATTACATTGAACTAAGGCTAAAAAAAGTCTTGACTTAAACCAGCTTTTGGACAGAAACAGGTTTGAAAGTCACACATTTAATCACAGCCCTACGTCTCTCACTGGTTCATGTAACTTTGGTTTGGTTTTCCAGCTCTGATGAAGTAATGTGAGTGCAAATCACTGAATAAAGTAACCATTTCTCTGGCAATCACATGCATGTTTTTACACGTACCGCAGGTTTGTCAGGATTGTAATGTTTAGCTGTTAGCCCACTACCGCTAATGCATGTGATGTTACGAGAACTTGATTCTTTACTTCATTGACAAGCACCACCTTAACGCGCAGGCGGTTTGCAGAAAAGATTATACTATGTGCACTGTTATATACTGTGTCTAACCTTTCCTGATGTTTTTTGCTAAAACTTTTCCTGTCCTTGTCTAAATGCTGTTATTAATCACTCCGGATTCTTGTTCCATGTGTCATGTGGGTGCTGCAGTGTGTGGAACCTGGAAATATCCCTCTAATAGGTCTTATCAATGGAAACACTTAAAGGTACAATCCTTATATTTTTTGATATTTTATTCTGTGGTAGCAACATGAGGCAGAATAGCTTTACACAGGAGTAATATGTAACCATATGGCCACGTCAGTGTTTGATAAAGTTTCTTGATCTGGACAAGTTTTCCAGCTCTATTTATTAATACAGAACTGTTGTGGCTATATGGATTATAGAGTTAGATTTTTTTCAAGACTAGTCATTAGCTCAAAGGAGGATTTCTTCGATGACAACCCCTAAAAGGATTGCAACTTTAACATGGAGTTGTTCTTGTATGTGTGTGATTATGCTGTGATTGAACATTGCTGTAAGGTTCTGGTAGAAAATGCTGTTCTAGGTGTTAGATTCTTTGTTATATAGCGATGTTGATCACAACAATACCACACAGGTAGAAAAGCAACATCATGAGCAAGTGTTAGACTTGTGGTGTTACACAAAATCCTGATGTGTGTTTTTGGTCATAGGCCACTTTCTCACAACTGATCTGGTGTTATATGATATTATTAACATACGTCGAGGAGATACGGTGTCATTTAGTGTTCATTTTTTAATTTTTTAAAGATGTTTTGAGTTATTTAAATGAATTTTTGTTGTTGTGATGGTTACATTCGGCAATTTGAGGACATTTAATTCTATCAGGAGCAAACAAGCCTGTAGTGTTTAAAAAGATCTGAAATGATGAGACTTTTCCACTGATAGCAGCAATGCTCTTTAAAATGTCTCTTAGATATCACAAAGATGATGCTATGATAGAATGCTCCCTCCTGGCATGGTACAGTGGCAGAAATTTGAGGAAAAAAGACAGAAAAAAAGAGCTAATGTCATACGTATCTCATCCATTGTCATACCGGTGCTGACATCAATCAATAGATGGAGTCACGATTGGTGGGTTCAACATATAAGAGATGCTGTTAAATAAAACATGTATACTTTATATTGCATCATTTGCTTTTACATACCTGGTGTTTTTCTTTTAACAGCTTATCAAGTCCCCGATACGAGCCTTTAACTAAATGGTCAGAATTAATATATTATGCTTCTAGTTTATGTGCCAAAACATTAAAAAAACTGGATCTTATGATCATAAACTTTACCCTCAGAGTGTAGCCTAATGTTAAGATCGCGGGTCCAATCACGAGCGAGAAAGAAGCTCCTTCTAGTGTCTTCGTCATGAACACTGGGTGTCTATAGCTGTAAACTGAGCATTCATCTTGATCTTAACTCATCTTGCTTCTCCATCTCACTCCATCCCGTCCTGCTCTAGCTCATATTGGACTGATCTGCTGTATTTGAGACCACTGACAACAGCAGCAGCAGCAGCAGCAGCAGCAGCAGTGAGGTACTTTACAGAACAAGGCGAAGGTTGCATTCACTTTCAATTCCACCAAGGTCAAGAGAATCTTTCTTTTAAACTTGTTTTCTCACAAATTTGAGAGCATTCTAGAAATGGTGTGATTTTTACAGCAAAATACATCCATTCTTCACTGGCCATCATTTTGTTTCAGGGTTAAACCTTTCTGAATGAGCTCCTTTGTTTCTGTAAATTCATGTTCGAGGGTCCAATGCTGGAAAAAAAAAGTGGTGCTTCAAGCAAAATGTATCAATCTCAAGCAGTGGCTGAATTAAATTTCAGAGAAATATGTTTAAAAGCACAAAAGTTTAGGATTCAAACAGTCCAAACCATTTTAGGATACCAGTAACACAGCAGAACAGTTCCTTTAGTCCATTTCATGGTATCAGTGGACAACAGACGTGTACACACTTCTATACAATGGAGGGGTATGTCTATGCTGACACGTCCCACACGTCCACACTAGAAAACAGGATTTTAACCGCCTGACAGCAACTAGAAGAGCTGCTTTGTTTAACTATTTAAGAGCGCATGAAACTGCTTAACAAGAACAAGACAGACCGTGTAGAGTACAGTACAAACATTGTGAAGATATGAATACATACAGCATGAAGCAAGCGCCCTGTCTATTTTTTCTGACATGTGCATAGTTGCACTGCTTGTTGGACACGCTTGCAGAAGTTGATAGATGGTGAAAACAACATAACGTTGACTGAGGAGTGAGCAGCAACACACAGCAAATGTGAAAACTGTCTGCCTTTTTGTGAAATGTTCACCTTAGTTTTATTTGGGCTTTAAAGTTACAGAAACACTGCATTCACTAAAGAAAACTATATTTAGAGGTTTTACCCTTAATAATGAATCCCACATTTCAAAATTACAAGAAGATAAAATTAGATCATAGTGGCGGTATCACTAAATTTACTTTTTTCTTAATTCAGGCAAGTAACATGGTATGTTGTTAAACTTTGAGCTGCTTTTTGGTTATAATTGTGTAATTATTTTTACATTGTCACTGCAAAAGGACCCTGATAAATCCACTGTGAAATCACAGGAAAATGAAGTTTCAAACTTGCTTCAGAATTTTTACAGATTTTCTTCAGTATAACAGTGATAGTAGTCTGTACTAGAAATAGAACATAACAAAGAGAGATTTTTAATTTGATGAACTTGGTTTACTAAAATGTAAAACTATGTGAGTTAAAACAATACAAGTTGTGGCCCATGGTGTAACATTAGCCCTCATATTAGTTATCCAAGTTCATGTCTGTTAAACAGTGTTCCAAACAAAGGAGGAAATAAACTTGAATTAATTCAGATTATAAAGTAAAAAATCCTGATTTCACAGTTTTTTCTAGTAATCATAAGATGCAGAATTTATAAATATGAAATGTGGCCTCCAAATGTATTTCTCTGAATGCGTTTCCTTTCAGTATAAAGCAGAATTTTTCCTCTTCCAGTGTAACCGATGCCCCTTGTACTCTCTGGCTGAAATCTGTCACTGCATACTTAAAGTGCTGTAGCAATAAAGCTAATGTTAAAATGCCATCATCAGCCCACTGAAATGATGGCCCAAGCTGCAAAAATCACACTTCAGCTCATAGAAATTCTTGTTTTAATAATGCAGACATCCAAATAACCAGTTTAAGAAGTGAACTCTGATTGCATACAACAGTAATGTTCAGTATAAAAGCTTGTTTCAATGAACGTGGTTGAATTGGAAGTGAAGCAGCCTGAAACCTGCTGTACGGAACTTGTGTCTGTTTTCTCGACCCTTCTTTATCCACCGATCCCCACAAACCAAATGCCTGCATCTGTGACCTAAAGCTCCTTCACGCAGTCACAATAAATCTTCCCGCCGCACAAACACGCATCCACCGAGACCGAACCCCGTGTACCGCGTACGCATAATGAAATCGTGCATGCTCTCACGGACGCAGATGAACCCGGCTCCACCTGAGCGCTTCGCCTCCACACCTGGGCGACGGGTGATTCCAAATCCTTTTTTCGGTTTGCTCGGTGGAGCTTATCTGCTGCAGATGATCCGCTGCAATTACTCTGTAAATTGTGATTTTGTCCATCTGGGCGCAGCAGGAGGACAGACGCACAGGCTCAAAGGGCCAGAGCAGGTTCATGTATTTCTGAAATGGCTTCATCTGTGGCTTCTCTTTATTGAGATAAATCTGTGCAAAAAGTGCATTATAGTCACAGTTAATGCACCTTTCAAATTAAAAGTCAACACAATGGCTAGTTTGTTCACACCTACCCAGTATATCTTCTGCTTCAGGTGAGCTCTGTGCTATCTCAGCCTCCTCAGCTGCACTTTGTCCTGACACTGGAGGATCACAAAGCCCCGTCTGTCTAACAGAGCCCCCCTCGGAGTGTAGCCTTTGACCTCCAACCTCTCACCTTCTTTCTTCCCTCTCTCCTCCTGTCATCGATGTCACAGGGATGCTGTGTGGAATGTGGTGCACCCCAGTAACAAACACCTTCCCTCCCTTTGCAAGATCAATACAGGTTTTCTGTGTTTCCTCAGCTTGTGGTCTAAAAACACTGGACCTTAGCATGTCTGGTCCTTCACACTCAAGGTTAGCACTGGCTCATTAACAAGACAGATGTTAAAGCTAATGGAACACGAGTTTGATGTAAAATGTTTAACCAGGCACAGGATGGCCTCAACTTAAATGACCACACATCCTTAATGAAGAGTCCAGTATGTAAACATAACATTATCTGCAGTTTTGGGGCTGAGCAGCTGAGCCAGAAACTCCATTTGAGGCTATTCTGATGCAGCTGCTGGACCAATATCAGTGGTCACAGAAACACATCATGTTTTTTAATGAAGCAGAAGCAAACATGGTCACTCGCTGTTTTCTCTCATATCACATTGTTCAGTCAAGTGTATGTTTCAGTGAACTGGGTTCAATTTGAAATGTTTGCCGCAATGATGCCTTTGTATTTGGTAGCAAACAGAAATAGCTGCTGAAAGGCAACATTGGTGAAGGTTCCCGGTGGGGTGTTGACCTCCAATAGCGCTACAACAACCAATATTATATGACTGGAGTTTAGTTTAGATTGACTTGTGCCACTAAGTCTTCCAACATAAATGAGCCTAAATGTCCTGAGGTTTGTTTCGATCCTTTGATGCCACACGTTGGAGCATACTGGTGGCAGGAGATATACCACAGATAAACTGATTTAATTAGGTTTAGGTACAAAAATAACTTGGTTAAGTTTATGGAAAAAGGAATGATTCAGGGTAAAATAAGTTATTTCCCAAGGTTAAATGACCTTCATTGTCATGGTTACAATAATAAACACACTGTTTAGGTTATGGAAAGGACCTAGGTATAAGAAACATAGTTGGTATTTCAGTATTACGATGTGTTATTACTTCTAGCCAAAATGTCACAACCACTTAACAAAACAAGTTCAAACTTGACACTGCACTCACTTGGGGCCTCAGCAGTACACCAGCCAAGTTTGATGTCGATTGGATGTATAGTTTTTGAGACAGTTAAAGAACAGACACACACACACACACAGATTCCTTCATTTATTAGTGCGATAGGAAACATGTTGCAGCCCACTCTGTAACTCAGTGTGTCCATGGCAACATCAGACTTCCTACATCCCTTAAAATTTCACCTTTCTTCACACAAGGGAAACTTTTAAAATAATGTTTTCTAAAAATACTTTGTTGAAAAAATATATTTATTATATCAGATAGTGCCATCATCGCTGTCCTCTCAGCCACAGCAAAGATGGAGAACCACTTTAACCTTTTCTCATCATTACAGGATCTTTTCTTCCAATTAGAGAAACTGATCTAGAGTTTAGGAGATGCTAAATTAGAGCTCCAAAATAAGTTTTCAAATGTATTTTTATTTTGCGAATGCAGTCTGCTTCTGCACTACATGCATCTTGCTAGTTTTAAATGAGTCTTTAAATAAATTCACATATGGTTCCAGTGCAGTCATGGTGTCAAAACCAAAGTTATCTACTTAAAAAACATACAGATTCACAGACTCACATCATTGCCTCTTTTACATTGAAATGTGTATTTGCTGTTTGCTGTAAGGACTCAGGTAGCAGCGACTTTCAGATTTTCTCATATGAAAACAGAAAAAAAGATATATCATTTAATCCTGTTCTTCTTATATTCAGGTCGTAGCTACACGTCAAGAAGGTAGAAGAATGTACTTTTCTATGGTTCTCGGCAAAATAAGCTCATTACTTTTCTTTTTTTTGTCATTTACACATGTGAAATGCTTAAATTAAACTGATTCAGTACTAGATTCAGATTAAATAAAATGGATTTTGAAATTAAATCCATAAAATCCAAAAATCTACATTTCAACCTGATGTTGTGCAGAGGATGTCGTATAGTGATCCATGAGAATTATAAACAGGTAAAGAAGGTGGATTAGTCTTCCTGTGAGTGTTTCACCTCACACATTACATGCAAGGGTGCTCCGCGCTGTAATTAGAGTTACAATAATTGGACATCCTCTCATTAACACACGTTGTTCCTGTTTAATAAGGTGTCATGTGAAGAGCATGTGCACACCACTAATCCACCTCATACTTTCTCTGCTGATCATGCGTCTTAAGGGTACATTTATAATACAAATCCACTTCTAAGGACTTGCAACTTGTGAGAGCAGAACCCAAATTCAGAGATTCTATTGTTATTATTCTTCCCTTTGTCTTTGTATAAACCTGAAAATGGAAGAAAATCAAACTGATCATTTGCAAAAGTGTTGAAATCAAGACAAAGTGATGAATAATCCTGAATATTTTGCAGATAAAACAGTGACATCAGCTTTTCTATTCTCATGTAGCTCCAAGTGTGTGAGGCTTCCTCATGTATCAAGTCATATTTTAGCATAGATTATGTTCAGTTAGTGTCTCATTAGTCTGTGAAAGTGAAGGAGCTGTAATTTAAAGAGATACAAGTCAATCTAGCAATTAATGAAGGCAGCTCTCAGAGGGTTTAATGAGAGGAGGGCGAGTCCCTGAGGGGAAACCAAACAGTTCACTTCTGATCTGTCTATTCCTCCCTCTCTCTCTCTCTCTCTCTCTCTCTCTCTCTCTCTCTCTCTCTCTCTGCTTCACATGTTCTGCCCTCCCCTCTCTCTCTGTCCATGGATATTCATGAGTCAACAGAGTGAACTTGCTGCCTTCTCACCAGCAGAGATTAACAGAGGTGTCAGGAGCCGGCAGAGGCCTGTGGGACGAACACAAACGTTGGGAGTTGTTAGTTACTGTCAGCGAGGTGCTGATCTGTTCTCGTCAAGTCACAGCTCAGCGAGACAAGTGTCGAATCCCCAATCTGTGATTTGTTCTGTCGCCGTTGTTGTGTCGCACAGTCCTCCGTTATTCTCTTGTTTTTCTCCCAGGTGAACAACGCAGATCTCTGTATGATCAAATGACTCTTAAGTACTTTTTTGTCCACCGCACTGCGACAGAAGATCATCGGTGTCAGTGGTCGACTTGCAGAAAAGAGTAACTTTGGTGAAATCACTTTGCCACTTTGCTGCGAATGTGTGTTTGACAGCTTGTTTTGCACATGCTCATTGCATTACATGATGCTCATCAGCTTTTGCTTTTTATTTTGCGTTCAATGGCAACTTTTCTGCAGACTTTTAGGAAAGAATAAGAATGTTTTTTTAAAAATTGCAACACAAACATGCCAGGAAGGATGTTGTTTTTACATTTTTAGGTCATGGTAAAAACCTAAAAATGTAAAAATTTGTATATTCAGTGTAGAAAAATGGAACAAGAAGGAGTTACAGAATGGCAGCAATTCAAAGGTAAAATATGGATATGTTTGTTCATCACTTTTAAACCCAGGCCAGGCAAGTTTCAGATCCGTTTCTTTTCATGTATTAAGAATTTCCTGCCTGTCACAGCTCACCCATGTAATTATTAGAAAATTGAGACAATCCTTAGTAGACCTTAATAGGATACATTTAAAAACTACATGAAAAAAGTATTGCTGGTTCCCTTAAAATCTATTCAGAGGTGCCAAACCTACGATTTTCCTTTTGGAACTAATGGATTAATGAATAATTTAGGTTTATTTCAACCTTTCCCTTTATTGTGGCTATTTTACCTCTATGGGTCACTTTATGCTCCACTGTAGACATGTGGAGAATTGAGGAGTTGCACAAACCAACATGCTGATGCTATACATCAGGTCAACAAGCTTTAACTTCCTGCAGCTTTCCAAAAAACATTGATCTAGTCTGACCAAAGGTAAAAACTTGAGTCACCAGTTTGCTGACTGCATTAAGAACAACTTATGGCTCGTGTAGTCACCCTGCAGTAGTTCAGTTGAAATATTCATCTCAACACTGGTTTGTTTTCACCTTTCAGGCTGACAGTAGCGGGTAAAATTCTGTCCTTTTTCTGTAAAACACCACATCCAGGGCTGCACTGATTATCAAAGCTGCAAATTCATAGTAGGGATTATTCTCATCTATAGACACAGAGCAGTTTTCAGAGTCTAGTATCAACAGGTCCCAGTCTTTGAAATTTCCTCCTCAGTCGGCAGCAGTATGGCAAGAAATCTGCACTTATATAGTGCTTTTAAACCTTAGCTTGGTTCTACAAAGCACTGTTTTCACACACCAGTGCTGGTTTGCCAACGATTGGGAGCAACTTCAGTGTCTTGCCCAGCCTTCTAATTAAGGGACAACTTGTTCTCCCACCTGAGCCACGGCTGCAGAGCTGTGAAGGCAGCAACCATCAGTTTCCAGATGTACTTTCAAGACGTCCTGTTATTTTTCTGCCTTTGACTTAATCCAAAGTGTATCATCTTCCATTTGATTTAGCTCCTCATCTGTGGATTCAAGTTCCAATAAATACAGTCAGCCATCAAAACTACAGTATGTAGGGCGAGTAGGCCAGCAGGGAAATATTACAGGAGGTTCCTAATGCAGTTAGCAAAATGGATGCTACAGGGGACTCATGCTCGTCACTAAAGTTTGAACATTAGTTAGAATTTCCTGATTTAGAAATTTAAGCAAACCAGATGTTTGAAGATTCTTTGGATGTTAAAATATTGCATTAACACATGTTTTCAACAGCAACATTCAGAAATAATCTGTTCTAACAGCATATTGTTACAAAAACACATGAAATAGAAACATCCGGACTAGTCAGCATTTATATAACAACAGTGATGACCAGCTGATCCCAGCGCTGTGCAGGAACGCTGATCTAATAGCACTAGTTGGCTACTCTGTAGAAAACTCCTACACTAACCTCCAGCTCTCTCAGTCCTTCATGTTCTATGTAATGTTATAAAAGTACTCTGCTTAAATGCAAAGTAAATGCACACCGCCCCGCTTCTTGTGTGGACAGAAAGTTAAATTAATAATTAATCCAAGAAGTCAGAGCACTTTCTCGTTGTTAAAAAAACACTTAAGGTCATCGGTGCGAGCCTCTGCGCGCGGACTCGATGAATAATTCGGCCTTTTAAAAAGAACACGGTTTAAGTAGGCGTCAACACAGCATCAGTGTGAATAATTCAGATTATGACAGAGAAGCATCAAAGAAACATCACATACAAAAGTTTGCTGTCAGAAGATAAATAAGCCCACTTCTGCATCTCAAACAGACAGACATCCCCATTAGATGCGCGAGCAGCTGAGACTGCAGTATCGAGATGAATCACCAGCAGAACTGTCTGTGGATCAATGAGTTCAATGGACACGCACACACTCGAAGGTTTTATCTGAAAAAGGGCAATTAGACGATTTAAACCAGGATGTAATTTTCACTTTTCTGCCTGTCCGTGCAATCAGAGAATTGTCGACTCACTTTACATTTCCTGTTTCTTCTTCTTCTTGTGTTTCAGTATGATCTACTCCTTGGTTACCTCATAACAACTGATTTATCAGCAAACCGGGGAGAAATAGAAACACCTCTGGATACATTTGATACCACAGACTGCCAGTGTAGAAATATAAGACGAGAATTTTAAAAGTAAAGAAGATAATAAAGAAAAACTTCTTCTTTGTTTTTTTTCTTTTGCTGTGAAGCCAAACAATGAACTAAACTGTGGGGGGCGGGGGGGTGGGTGGGGGGGTCGAAGCTTCTTTTTTTTTGCTTCGTTCACCCCCCAAAGAAGAACGGACATGTTTTATCCTCAACTGTATATAAGAACTGAAGACTAAATCTACTGTTTACAGTTTGACTGCTCATAGCGAGACCCGAGTTAATCACTGCCTGGCCAACGTTTGTACCACACACACACAAACACACACACACACACACACACAAACACACTATCCACAGCCTCCTCTGCAGTGCTGCTGCACCTGCCGTACGGTAGCGGCGGCATCAGCAGCCCGGAGGATGAAGAGCACAGTAGCGTTTGCACAGTTTGTCTCAGGCACAGCACGGTGAAGCACTGTCACAACACAGCACAGCTCACCGAACCCCTCAGCCACTCCTCCTCCTCGGAAAACGCCTCACCAACCGTAGCTTCACCGGTGAGTCCGGAGGGATAGATGGACGAGTGGACGGACGGATCACACTGTACAGAAAAAGAGAAACCGAGCTCCGGTGGTGGTGGTGGTGGTGGGGGGGAGGTAGAAGCAACCGGGGCGAAGGGTTTCTCGACATCTCCCCCCTCCGCCCCTGAAAACACACACGCAGTCCGTGGTCTGTGGGATTATTCTTTCTAACATTATGTGAATGGCTTTTGTGACATGTGCATTTTGGTGTATTCTTTAAACAAAAAGGCATTTCTAATTGATCTACAGCAAAAAGGTGTTCTATACAGCAAATGCCTTCTTAGTGTCGTCCTAGTGTTGTTCTATTGTGGGAAACTTTTCTAAAAACTCCAACAAAAAACGGAAAACCTGTCAAAGCTTTTATAGTAGAGGAGCACACATTCTTTGCACAAATAGTGTCTTTGATCTTGCACAATATTCGCAATATTTGGCTATATTATGTATTAGAGGTAATTTATGACAGTCTAGCCACACAGGTGAAGGTCTTCCAACATGTAAAGAACTTACCCAGCCCCGTTCGAGGATGGGAGGAGGGGGGGGGGGGACAATGTGAATCTTTTCTAGCTCTCTTTACACCACGGACCAAAATGTTGTCTTTTCACGACTTAAATTAATTTATTTATGTCTATTTGTGGGATACCGATGGCTCGCTTCCATGCTTTATCTTAAACATTCTTTTCTGACGCAACCACACCAGGAGCAAGGAGCGAATAAAGCGAGAGAAGGGAAAGGTGCCTCGTATCAACCTGTTTTTTCCTCCTTGATTTGAATTAAAGCAACTGTAGCAAATAATATATGATAGTAAACGAAGATGATTCCCGGAGAGAAAGTTAGAGATGATCATCCCTGCGGCTGGGGTGAACTCACAACTCTTGAACCTGCATCTTCCATGTGTAGCACAGTTTTCTAAGCGCTGGGCCACTCTTCGAACCTTCACCACCATCGTCTCCACTCAGTGAGCTTCAGTTCATGAGCCGCAGCTCCAGGAGCAGATAGGAATGCCCCGTTCTTGTTGTTTTCTCTTATTCTAACTCGAGCATTTTCTATCCTTACTGTGTATGTATGTGACCAACCAAGTTGAATTTAGATATCGTTTATGAAATAAAGTATTTTAAAATCTAAAGACTTCCTTGTCATACTTTTTCTTAACATATTAGTGTTTAGTATTGTTGCCTGTCAGAACCAACTGGTCAACCAGGTTCTTCCTGTGTCTTTATGGAATTTCTGCAGGTGCTTCATCGAAACAGTTCAAAGACATACACGGGATGGTGATTCTAAAAGTGGCTTTAGGCGTGAGACTGAGAGTGTGTGGTTGTGTTTCTCTTTGTGTTGGCCATATGATGGACTGGCCACTGTCAGCTGATGGGCTCCAGCCTCCTGCAGCAATTTATAGAAAAAAGCCAGTAAAGCTGATGGATGAATGGATGGACGTAGCAATGCGGAAACTTTGTTCAAACTCAGTGGCACCCCCTGTGTGACCCCTTCCCACTTTTTGCAGCTGAAGCACACCAGCTCACCTATGACTCAAACACTGTAAAGCTAGATTATGCAATAGCAAGTCATATTATTGAAGTAAATGCATACGCTAAATGTGACATTGGACATACAGACATACATAAATTGGCTTTCATTGTTTTGGAACAGACATGTCCCCAGTGTGTTTAGAGACCCTCAAAATTGGAGAAATGACCACACCTTTGTTTCTTTCCCTTGGAAAATGAGTCTCTGAATGAGCCAGTCGAGTTTGCAGCCTGTTGTGATGTCACAACAGGATAAGCACGGCCCCCAAATCTGGCTCCTCCCCCATATCTTGGACTCTCTCTGCCACCCACTGGTTTCATTTCAAATTACATACTCTTCTTCTTTGCTTTAAGCACACATTGTAGCTTATCCTACGTAGTACATATACAATAGAGACATAATACGTTGTCATATTATTGCACCTTAAACTCTGACCGTTGCAGTCTGCAGTGTGAAATGAGCTGACATCTGTGTGTTTTCAGTGTTTATACTTGACACCGTGATGTAACTACACTGATTATTCTGGGTCTGAATGGCCAGAAAAGCATGTTGGCTTTCAAGCTGCAAACACTGAAGCAGCTCATTTGGAACAAGTCTAAAAACCAGGGGTATTGTCGACATGATGAAATTAATTTTCTGTGCGGCAGTTTGAGCTGAGACTTGAAATATGCATTTTGGGAGCATGAAAAACTTGCATTACCTTGTTAAAAAAGGATGTGATATGAGAGCTTTAAAATCTCTCTCCAGTCACTGATTGAAGATCTAATAAATCATCTGTGTTTATCAGTACTATTTAGAAGTTTCAAACCATGGAAACAGGGCTGCAAGGTAGATCTGTGGTTAGCACCGTTGCCTCTCAGCAAGAAGGTCACTGGTCACAGTGAGGACACCTGGGATCTTTTTGCGTGGAGTTTGCATGTTCTCCCCGTGCAGCGTGGGTTCTCTCCGGGTTCTCCGGCTTCCTCCCACAGTCCAAAAACATGTTGAGGTTAATTGGTGATTCTAAATTGTCTGTAGGTGTGAATGTGAGTGTGCTTGGTTGTCTGTCCAGGGTGTCCCCTACCTTTACCCTAAGTCAGCTGGGATAGGCTCCAGCCCCTCCACAACCTAGTGAGGATTAAGTGGTGTATAGATAATGGAAACCATGGAAACAATCTCTTTCTGCCTTAAAATGCAGGTTTGGAGAATCCTAAATTTAATGTGAACACTGTATAAGCACATTTGGTGTCACTGCAGCATTTGAAGTTATCTTGCCTTTTTTCTTTTTTTTTTAATTTCACCTCTGTACAGAAAACACTGACATTTGATGTCATACCTAAAAAATTTTGCACAGTGCTGCCGTCGTACTTAACCGACTGCTGCTTGCTAGAAAGTGACAATAGTTTCAATATGGTTGTCTGTGTATGTCTGTGTGTGTGTGTGTGTGTGTGTGTGTGTGTGTGCGTGTGTGTGCGTGTGTGTGTGTGTGTGTGTCCGAGCTGTGGCAGACAATCCTTGACAGATTGGTGACAGCCTGTCTTCCCAGGATGCACCTGGGTGCTGTCCACATCACTGCCATGTATTTCATCATAATTAAAGCAGGCACACTCCGCTGACCTTTTGGCCCCTCGTCATGTGTTTGTGTGTATTCGAGCAGACTGGCAGTGATGTCTTTGGATTAGCTCCCCTTCCTGTACCTCCTCCTCTCTCCTCCCTCTGTTCCTGTTCTCTTCCCCCAAATCCTCGCCAGCATCCAGCTCTCCTCTTAAAGCTGTGAAATGACATTGAGCTCTTGTCCTGCGGCTCTGGCACACTGTGCTCAGCCGTCTGGAACCTGAGGTTTGCCTGTAAAACTCTGTTTCTTCAACTTTTCACAGCAAGGGAGGCAATTTTAATCTCGCTCTGCATGGGACTGAAGCTCACTGATGCATAGTGCTGCTTTCTCTATGAGAAGGCCCAGAAGAAATAGGCTGTGTGACTCACGGTGAGTTCAAACATAGAGTTTTCTAAACTGTGAATATACGACATGAGTCAGCTTTGGTAGAATGGACTGACATGAGACACAGGAGAGCTGCACTTATTCTGAGCTTCAGGTTTTCTACGGTGTGACACTGAGGCCTGACATTCTGAGGGTTTCTTTCCAGCCAGGTGTGACAAGGCATCTTAGTTTACAGGTGAACAAAAGTGAGCAACTATAACAGTGCTCATGGTCACGATGTGGTAGCATCACGTGACATTATGCATTTTCTTTTAATGGCATTGCCTAGCAACAGAGGCTCCGCCCACTGGCAGCCAAAAGTCAAGCTGAAGACCCAAAACGGCCACAAAAAGACCCCAAAAATGTTCCCCAATCATCCGATCTGCTTCAAACTTGACTCTGCACTTCTTTGCATCATTAACTTGTAACAGCTAATTTGGTGTGATTAATTTTTCAAAATGAGAATGTTTCCCCTCTACTGGATACTGTTCCCTACGCTTGTATCACCTGTTCCATTAAAATGCATAGGTTTGGAGACGGATTTAACATCATTGTTGTGGTTCTGATGTACCACTAGAAGCTGGTGTCTGTCACCCTTCTTCTAATCAGTGCAAACAACTGATTTGCTTAAAACAAAGTTGTAGCCTTTAAAAGCAGTCAGTGTTCATCTCCAGGTAGTTTACTAAAGTTTTGATTTGACAGCACAACACCACAGATGCAAAGTAGCACAAAGAGAGGATTCTGATTGGTTGTTTGGAAGACCACTGCAGGGAGCCTTCAAGAAGTTCTCTTCCTGCTGCACATGCACAGAACATGTCAAGTCATGCATATGCAAACTGTAACTGTTTCAGTTCAGTATGCAATGGGACACTGTATGATCTACACAGAC